CCAGAACAAGTACATACACCTGACTCTTTGGTCATGGGTAGTCTATGTAGATACTTCTTTCGCGGATATTGGTTTAAGGTGCCTCCGTTCGATCTTGTTTGGACGGACATTCTTAACATATCATTACAAGGTTTATCGCACGTAGACTCTCCACGTTTTACTTTTTCTCTTGTTTGTCTCTTTGTCGTAAGTCCCTCATTCGATTTTTCTCCTCCTCGAATCATTTATATGGTTCGAGAGGGAGATTTATTCGAATAGGGGAATTATACGACGATCGACAAGCTGGCGACTCCCTTTTAAAAATAAAAATAAAAAAAAAATGAACGGAAACAATACATATGAACTGATGGACAACCTTAAAAGGCATGGTTCACATAACAAATATGATATGTGATTATTTCTGATCGATGTTTAAATATATAGTATGTTATAATCTGCATTCTATGTTGACGTTATAATGAATATGTTGCTTTTTCCAACTTTTTTCTCATGTGGAAATTTGTTTTTTTCTTTATATGTTACTGCAAACCAAGGTTTTTGGCCTTGTTTTAGCTCTATCGTTAACACATACATTGAACTCATTAAAGGTTGTTGTGGCAGAAACTCAAGTTGACCTTGTTCATGCAAAATCTTGATGCATTTTACAATTTTACGAGTTGTTAGCCTGAGTTTGTGAATTAGAATTCTTAATTTTTGGGAGCATATAATTGGATGTTATGGTGAACCTTTTAGTGTGATGGCAAACTATAGAATTACTAATTGAATATGACAATGATTAGAATATTATGGTGAACCTTTTATTACTCCTTTGTAACAGGGTTGGGAAGAATTTTCTATGCTCGAGAAATCTTTTGAATTTAGTTAAGGATCCATTGCCAACCAAGGAAAAATCCAACTTGAGCTTTTCTGTTGTTATTAGTTTTTTTTTTTTTTTCTTTAGCACTTTCGGTTCTCACTGTTAAGTAAGTTGTGTATCTGAAATTTTGTGTTCTATTTTGAAATGAATTTTTGTTTTTGAAGTATCAAAAATGTGGTTGTCACAGTTTTATTTTAAAAAGTTTTATTAAACATGGGCATAATGGTAATTTTTTTTTTCCAGAAACAACAGTCTCACAGCAGTTTTCACACAATTGTAACAAACAGGCAGTCAACTCCCCTACAGCAGCTTCCTGGGTCAACGCAGCTGCAGCTGCCCCAAACAGACCCTTTCTACAGAGCCTGAGTTAAGGTCAATACAGAATCATTTTTCACCCTAAATATCTTATTAATCGTATTTCAACAATGTGATATATGAGCTATGGCAAACAGAGTCCTTGTCCAAGTTTCAATGCTCGTCGAGAGCAAGACAATTGAAGCATCAAGATGACAACTCTATTAGTTGCACAAAAATAGCAAAATATTGTCTAGAAAGGCTATAAAACCAAGACGACATTGTTCTATCCCATCCAAGTTGGAAGAGAATCCTTGAATAATTTGAGAAAGAGGCCAAAAAACTCTATAGCTCATTTTTTTCGAGTAGTGAATGAAGATGGGTTCAAGAGTCTCAAATGTGACTCCAACCAAAGAAGCATGGAAGATGCTTTCATCTTCAGACTCTTAGAGCTAAGTTTTAGTTTTTATTTAAGAAGAAAGATGAATCAATTTCTAACTACTTTTCTAGAGAATTCGTTATTGACAATCAATTATAAATAAATGTTAAAAATGCTAGTGATTTATGTAGATAACCCCACTTAGAAGGTAGGAATCTCTCATTATTATTGTATTTAAAACTCTCAGTCCTATACTATAAATAAAGATGTTCTACAATTTTGAACAGAGCCAAAGTTAAGGTCAATACAAAAGCATCTTCATCATAAATATCTTATCCATCTTATTTCGACAATGTGATATATGAACTATGGCAACCAGAGGAATGGTTCTTTTCCAAATTTCAATGCTCAAGGAGAGAAAAATTGAAGCATCAAGATGAAAACTCTACTAGTAGCACAAGAAGAGTAAAATATTGTCTAGAAAGGATATAAAACCAAGATGACATTGTTCTACCCCATCCAAGCCAAAAAAGAATCCTTGAATGATTCGAGCAAGGCACCAAAAAAGCTCTATAGCTCACTTTTTCGAGCCGTGAATGAATATGGGATCAAGAGTCTCAAATGCGACTCTGACCAAAGCATGGAAGAAGCTTTCATCTTCAAACTCTTCGAGGTAAGTTTTAGTTTTTAATTAAGGAGAAAGATGAATCAATTTCTAATTACATTTCTAAAGAATTCATTATTGACAATCAATTAAAAATGAATGTTAAAAATGCTAGTGATTCATATAATCGACCCCACTTTGTGAGATAAAAGCTTGTTGTTGTTCGTAAAAATGCTAGTAAGCTACAAGATAAAAAGAAAACTATTTGTGCTTTAAATCCAAACTCTAAGTTCATTAATATCACCATCAAAGAAACTAAGATTCTAAAGTCTTGAGTGTGGAGAAATTAATGGCATCTTTGCAAGCATGTGAGAAAAAGAAAACGAAAGAAGAAAAATTAAAATGAAACAATGGAACAACTATTATAACTTGTTTTGAAAGAAAAAAGCTATAACAATCATAAATGTTAAAAAGAAATATGTGGCCAAGGATGTGGTCTTGGAAGAGAAAAAGAAAGAAGAGTTGGCTACAATAATGATTCCAATTCTCCAACAATAGAAATAAGAATAAAAATCCGAAAGCAAAAAGAAGTTATGGAAGAGGCAACTTATGGTCGAGGTATGACAAATCTCACATCAAAAACTACAATTATCATTAATTCAATCATTATAGTTCTAAGTAAAGAAGTCCAAGAAAAGTAGATGATAAGAGCAACTTTGTATAAGATAAAAGTGAAGAAGAACAAACAATGTTCTAGGACAAAGATAGAGTCCAAGCAAATAAATGATATCTCAAACTCATTGTTAGCAATCACATGTGAAAAAAGAGGCATATTTGTGGAACTCAATGAAGCAGCAAACAAAAATTTCTTGTTCAAAGATGAGAAAAAATATCAATAAAATGCTAAGGTAAATTTCTCATATGCTTAATAGGGAACATCATTTTATCTCGGATGATACTTCAAACCCAATATGAAGGACAACATTTTTAGCTTAGGTTATTTATTATAACAATTATATGTATGGGTGTCAATTCGGGTGAACTAGTCGGGTTCGGATGCGATCCGAAAATGACCCAACCCGAATAAGAACAGCCGAACTCGACCCGAATAACAAACGAGCCAAAAACTAAGAGCTGAACCCGACCAAAACCCTAGCTTAACGCGCTAACCTGAACTCGAACCTGAAATTTCATGCTTATTCGGGTCATGTTTGAGTTTTCGAGTTCAACCCAAACTCGTCCCGAATAATAAATGGGTCGAATTCTCTGACCCGAACCCGACTCAAAAAATATTCGGGTCAACCCTAACCCAAATTTTTTTAGTCGAGTTTGAGTCATGTTGGCTTGTCGGGTCAATTTTTGACACCTCTAATTATATAATATTCACATAGAAGAAAATAGTTTTTCTTAAGGGATGATAAGAAAAAAATTAATTAACAAAGTTTCTAAGTCAAAATATTACATACATCTCCATATTCAATATAATGTTACAAAAGGTTTGAAGCCTTGCTATAGCGATTCAACATGGTTATAACATACAAAATACATACAGCTCATCTTTGGTGGCCTTCAAATTTTTTGTTGATAAAGGAGACAGTAAGATGCCTACTTTGCAATAGTTAACTTGATCAAATTTCTAAAGAATACTTATAGGAAATAATTCCACAAAAGTTTTCCAAAGGAGTCTATTTTGAAAGCAATGAAGCCACTTGAACCCAAACACATAATATTTGCAACCCTGTCAGATAGATATCTTTCAGTAAAAGTATATATTTTCTATTCTTTATTAGTGATTTTTCAAGATAAAATATTGGTATATTTTTTAAGAAGTGATGGAGGTGTCATAAAAATTTTAAGAAGGTTAAATCTCTTAATGAGAAAGAAAGTGACCTTGACGTCAAAAAAATGAGTTTCTATGAAAGAGGTAAGTTCATTTGAAAATGGGCTTAATATATTATGACAATCAAAGTATACATACTCCTATAAGGATGGCAAAATCCCCAAAACAAAGTAGAACGGAAAAAAGTATGAATCTAAACATTATTATCATGGCTCAAAGCATGATCAAAAGAAAATGCCTAAATAAATTTAAGCCAAAACAAAAGCTCGTGCAACCTACTTAGCAAATCTCTCACCAACAAAAAATGTGCATGGAATGACTACACAAAAAGCATTGAGTCGCAGCTAGGAATGTCACATCTAACTCTTTGGAATTATTTTGTACGTTCATGTTTCATGTGAGAAGATGATGCTTAGCAAAAAAAAAAAGAATAAGTATGTATTCATAAGCTATAATTCAAGTCTCACAGGCCAAAAGTTCTATAATTCTATAAAAAACAAAACGCTCGTTAGTCATGAGGCAATGTTCGATGAATAACATTTTTTAAGGTAAAACATAAATAAGATGAGCACAATTTTCTTCCTTAGTTTGAGGAAGAAGAAGAAGGTGAGCAACCAAAGATATAGAAGATCATAGAATAAACAGAACAGCCAGCCCCCCCAATATCATCAATTGCAAATGCACTTAAAAGCTCAACATCAAATAGAAGCTCAAATGAGATGATGTAATATTATAACAATGTACAATACATTTATGAGGTAACTGATAATTAAGATGGCATTAATCTTTCTAATCTTTTTTGATGATTGTGAACCTTTAATCCATCGATTGCATGCCTATCCGGTTTCTTTAGGTATACGAGTAAAATGCAATTTAAGAACGCAATAGGATCAATGTAGCTCATTTACCAGAAAACTTCCTAAATCTTGGCAATATCTTGCAACCAAACAGCCCCGATAAAGCCAATTAAGAAGAAAATAACACCAAGTATACTAACAAAGATGTTGGAAATGCATGGATTGCATACCTATCCGGATTCTTTAGGTATAGAATCGTCAAGTCTGCAAACAAGTAAAGATCATTAAAACCCGAAAAAATCAAAAGAAATTCAAATGGGGCGTTACGGGGATACGTACCAGGCGTCTGCTTGTCGATTATGTGAAGAGCCACGCAACCTGTAACCGTGAACTCCGGCTGGCCGACGTTGGAATCCAAATAAGCCACTCTCTTATACCTACATCCATTCATCCCAAAATGTTCCAGTGTAACAAGAACAAAGATCAAGAAGGACCATGAAAAACAAAGAAGAAGCTGGACGGACCTCTCTAATAGAGTGTTTAGAAGAAGGCGTGAGAAGGTGGCCTTGCCGCTGTGAGCAGGACCACAAATAACGGTAATGGGAGGAGGGAAAGTGGCCGAATCGTAGGCAATGTTGTCTGCTGCCTCCTGCCACGACGGAGAAATGAGAGTTCTCGGCAATGGCGACGGAGCATCTCGATTCTCCCGCATCTCTGGCCCTCACTCACTCTCTCTTTCTCAATCGCACAGTACTGCGGCTTAGTAGCGTGAAGTTCTATAAATTCGGATCAACTAAAATACAAGAAATTTGTTATCGATTTTTTTTAAAGTTCTAAATTCGTATCAACTAAAATGCAGATAATTTTTTATCTTTTTTTTTTATCATTTTTTTTTTTAAGGAATGGCAAAAGAGTAGCTTCCATTCATTTCGAATGTGTCTAACAATTCGATTACCAATTTCTTAAGATCAATTGTGTCAAAGAGGATTCGAATCTCTTGACCTGCGGGGGTTTATACCATGGATGACAAATAGCAGATCGGAGATTACATAAGATTTTTACATTCCTGTGGGAGAAAATTTTAAATATAATAGTCTCGTCCTTCAAAATTTATAATTCAACCATCTAAAACTTTTCATCCATTTTGATTGGTCTATTATGTTAACCGTTCGTAGCTATCATACATCATTTTTTTTTATTTCCCACAAATTTTATCATTTTAACGGTGGGAAATGCTATGATGGAAAGATAAGATGAGACACCAGAAAAAAAAATATAATATATTATTTATATGTATTAATATTAGTGATGTCAAACTGGCTCGTCGTTCGCGAACAACTTGTGTTCGGCTCGTTCGTTAAAAAAAGAACATCAATAGTGACTTACGAACAATTTCGAACATGAACTTATTTCAAACAAATTAAATTTCAAAGGAATCAAACACGAATCCGAACACAAGCTCAGTTTATCCATGTTCGGTAAGTTTACACTCTTATTAACAGGTGCATTTCACTTTTAAAAGTGAGTAATGGTGAGATTTATATGTGATGTTAAAGTGTTATGGACGCAAAAATTAAAATTTAGGTGTTAGATTTGTAAAATGCCTAATAAATGTGTGGTATGTACATAAAAGCCCCTATTAAATTATATTAGATTGTGATGAATTATTTGATTATTTATTTTCAATTTTAGATATGTTGGTTCAAATAAAATATTGATGTTGATATTATTAATATAACTATTTAACTTAATAAATACAGTTCATTATATGTCTATTTATTCATTTTCCAAAATTAATAATAAATTTAAGGAAAAAATGAGAGAAAGGCAGTTAAAAGAAGAAAGTAAAGTTTTGGAGGTCCCAAGGACTTCTGTGACAGACTGGCTGAAAAAGTGTAGTGTTCCAATATAGGTTGTATTTCCCAATTTTTTATTTGCAATGAATTTATAAAAGCTATGATATCTTATTATTTTAAAATGTTTTATTATATATTTCTTATGTTGGTAATTTTAGTCATGATATATCTTAAAAAAAATATTTTAATCATGCATAAATTTCGGAATAATTTAAATAATAATTTTTTAGATTTAAATTCAATATCATCCAGGGTTCCGATTTCAATAAGTTTATAGTCAAACTGATGGTCTCGACGAGGCGAGCACAATAAATGTAAAATTGGCTTAATTTGAGTCTGGCGAGACAAGCACAATTGAATGCTTTGAATGATAGATTGAATAGTCAAATAGATTTAAAATCTGACAATTGTGTTGTCAAATTTAGCAAATCATCGGGTAAAATCCAATGAACTCAACATTACTCGATTCTGACATCATTAAGACACTTAAATGCTCATGGAATACTAGATGATAAAAAAATTGCTCTAAGTCATAAGGTGGAGTGTTCAAATTTGTGTGGCATTTACTAATGATGTTACTCACAAAATCTATAAATAAACAATCATTGCCTTCTTGAAATGAGTACTTGGGACCTGGACTTAAAGGAGAAAGCTAGACAAGCTTCAAATACTGGAGGGTTCCTAAGCTATGATATCTTATTATTTTAAAATGTTTTATTATATATTTCTTATGTTAGGCATGTTTGGTAATTTTAGTCATGATATATCTTAAAAAAATATTTTAATCATGCACAAATTTCGGAGCAATTTAAATAATAAATATTTTAGATTTAAATTCAATATCACTCAGGGTCCCGATTTCAATAATTTTATAGTCAAACCGGTAGTCTCGACGAGGCGAGCATAATAAAGGTAAAATTGGCTTAATTTGAGTATGATCGAGCCCAAGTCATTTAAGCACAATTTAATGCTTTGAATGATGGATTGAATAGTCAAATAGATTCCAAATCTGACAATTGTGTTGTCAAATTTAGCAAATCATCGGGTAGAATCCAATGAACTCAACATTACTCGAATCTGACATCATTAAGACACTCAAATGCTCATAAAATACTAGATGATAAAAACAATTGCTCTAAGTCATAAGGTGGAGTGTTCGAATTCGTGTGGCATTTACCAATGATGTCACTCACAAAATCTATAAATAAACAATCATTGCCTTCTTGAAATGAGTACTTGGGACCTGGACTTAAAGGAGAAAGCTAGGCAAGCTTCAAGCACTTGAGGGTTCCTAAGCTCCACCTTCGTCGGGCCTCCATCAAATGGGTGTTGTCAATGTTAGGCCATTGCTACCCCAGCTCAACCTTTGAATAGTCGTCACGTTTGGATCACTACTGTTTCTTCCTCGTTGTCGCCATCCATTCACTGCCACCTCCAAATTGTCATCATTGTTGATTGGCCGCCAACGTCCTCTAAAGATAGGGCGACTGCTAACATTAAGGCCACTGTTGCCACTTCTATGTCAATGTTGTGTGATTGTGGCTATCATCGTACCATCGCTGCCCCACCACCACAATTGGGCCGCAGTCACCGTTGGTCCAATGCTTCTCGGCCTCCATTGTCGAGCCACCGTGATCATCGTACCACTGTTGTTGCATCCAGACCACAATCGACAGACTATCCACACCTTCGGACTGTCACTGCCCGACAACCATCGTTGAATTGTGGCCACTGTAGGGTCGTCGTCATGCTTCCCGTTCATTGTCTTCTAACCATCACCAATGTCGAGCCGCCACTACCAGAACCCATTCATCGAACCGTCACCACAGTCGCGCCACTGCTACCCGACCACCAATTTCGAGGCGTGACCACCGTGAAGGGCTATCATCATCTAGCCACCGCTAATAAAGACATTGGATGTATATTTTATGGCACACAAACCCTAACATTGGTTTACCTTTGTAGTTGTACGATGGCTACCACTTTCTCAGCATCTATTGTTGCTTCCCAGTGAAAGTCTCATACCACTCGGGTAATGTTGATTATGGTCATTTAAGCGCTTGTAAAGTCTCGTAACAAGCATTGACATTGTGGAATTATTTCACCTATGTCACGCCCTATGATAGTTTCTTTTTTGAGTTTTTCATGTAAATTTTTTTATTGTATGCTGTCATTTTCATCTCACCTGCGTCAGTAGCAGATCTTTGTACATCATCGAGATATTAATCCATCGCTCCACTGCTGATAATTTAAGACCACACAATGGTTTGATTATATTTGTGAGAATGAATTCCTTCATCGAATAACTTATAAAACTTATGAAATGGCAGCCAAACACAATACTCATAAGAAAGGAGCATATTGTTTTAACACCTGCTACTTCAGGGGGCAATCATGGAGTCTAGAGCGTCAATCATCTACTTCTTCCCTCCACAAAAGGCATTATCCTGCTAGCAAAGTTGTCTAATGCCCATCTTTGGAAGTCCGAGTGTGCAAAATGGATGAGTCTCAGCATGAGATTCTTCAATTTCTAAATAATAATTACCAGTTAATGCCCGCACAGCCATACTGAATATATTTATCATAATGTCAACAACATAAAAATAATGCCTCACTTGAGAATACTCGTGCTGGTCTCATCCCTGTTGTGATGGGATTTCCACGATACTGTGAGTTTGATTTATCCATCTCGTGTAGCTGGATTGATCGGCAACCCTTCAAGCTCACGAAAAACTTGGTTGGGCCATACCTTACTAACGCTCCCAACAATGTAACCTGTGATGAGTTGTAGTGTTTGGTTCGAGAAGAGTTCCCTCTAAGGGATAAAGATTATTTTTCTCCTCATTGTAATTTTCAAGAGTCTTCTCTTTTGATCGAGATAATTTTTCAACGCCCCATCCCAACATGCATCAAGCTTTTGAATATTGAGTCCTGTGATCGGGTATCTGATCCTTACAAAAATACTGACAATTAATGAACCATCATGTACACCCAGTGGGCTTCAAAAGCATTTTTTCTATCAACTTTTTTCTAACATTCTCAAACACTAGGCTCACACATGATTCTACTCCCTTCTGTGAGGAACTCCACCCCTTAAATGAACTCCCATGTATCTTGTGGAGCAGTTCGTAGCAACCCGAATGATTGTCAAAAGTTCATCTCATCTCTTAGGATTTCATTCAAAATATTTTCTACTAAACCCTGTTAGATTCTATGGATGAATCTTGAATTACTAAGAGGGGTTTTTCTTAGAGGGTTTTGCTTAGAATCTTTATGCTCATCACTAATGCATGAGATACTTTACTCCTATGTTAAACTTGTTTGTTGTGTGGAAACTCAAATTATTGTAAATATGGCTATCAATGCACACAACAAGCATTTCAAGTGATTTGGGGGCAAGCGTAAGAGTAACCACGGCAATGTAGATCAAGCCTCGCAATGAAAGAAGTTTAAACAATAGGGGAATCATAATCTTCTTGCTAGATCTTCAAACCACCGATGTGAGCCTCAACTAAAAAAAGAGTACATGTTGCTTGACATATCGCGTTTCAATGTTTTGATTATTATCAAAGATATAAAGACCCTTAGCAGCCTCACCCTTTACAACAAAATTTTGGGAACAAAGAATGGTGGTGTCGCTTTTGTCGGAGTTGTGATCACGCAACTTATGCATGTAATAAGCTCAAATAAAAAAATTAAAAGGCTATATTGATATGAGGGAACAAAGAATGGTGGTGTCGCTTTTGTCGGAGTCGTGATCACGCAACTTATGCATGTAATAAGCTTAAATAAAAAATTAAAAGGCTATATTGATATGGTTACTTGGATCGATTATTGTAACATAAGCCTGTAAGTCTGAATAATGAACATGTACCCCAACGAGCTACTATAGTGGAAGACTTGATTCATATTCTACTACTGTGCTAGCAACCCTCACGGATAGTACAACTTGGTTCTCCACTCACTGATGAGCAAATATTTGAGCATATAGATTTTTTCCACGAGAATCAATACATCTTTGCTTGGACCCAGACCAATATGCCTTAGGGTTGTCCCTGAGATGATTATGCACTCCTTAAAGGGAGACCCAACCTTTAAACAAGTCATTTAAAGGGAACAACATTTTGCTTCAGACCATTTGCAAGCAATCGAGCAACAAGTCGATGAGCTTCTATAACCGAGATTCATATGCAAAGTACACCACCTCATTTGATTGACTAATGTTATCATGCTTAAGAAATTTAATAGAACTTAAAGGATGAATGATGACTACACTGATCCTGCAAAAGCTTGGCTGAAGGATAATCTCCCCTCCCTCGTGTAAATCAACCTATTGATGCCACATTAATGCATCAGATGCTTATCCCACTGAATGCATAAATATTTATATTGTAATTAGATCATATTGTTTGGGTTGAAAAATGGTGTCAGAACATACAAATGTCTAATAAATAATTTTTTCAAATATCTCATCGGGTGTACCATTGAGATATAGATCATGACATGCTGGTGAAAAGCCTATAAAAGACTGAGCACATCTCTCATATGAAAGAGTAATTCTAAGTTCTTTAGCCTCACGACATGCGCCTCAAAATTATGTGAGGCTCTTCTTAAAAAATTGAGTTTCATTATCATTGAAAATCTTTGAAGGGAGACCAAAAATAGAATCTTTATGCATTGTCTTTAGTGATAGTGGTAAGTGACTCAGCCTCCACCCATTTAGTGAAGTAGTTAACATCCAGAATTATGCACGTTCGTTGTTTGGCAGCTATCAAAAATGGTCCTGTGATATTTATCCCCTATTTGGCAAAAGACCCAGGGCTTATGAAGGACATAAGTTCCATTGATGGCAACTAATTGAGTCATACTAAAAAAGTTGAATACTCGCCTTGAAAAGACCAAAAGGCAAAGGGTTGAAAAACTCTACAATATTCTTTGAGCTCATCACACCACCTTAGAAACTCCAACCGGGGAGACATGATACAAACTAAATACAAAGACACCCTGAAGAATAACACAAAGGTAAGTGACTCAGCCTCCACCCATTTAGTGAAGTAGTTAACATCCAGAATTATGCACGTTCGTTGTTTGGCAGCAATCAAAAATGGTCCTGTGATATTTATCCCCTATTTGGCAAAAGACCCAGGGCTTATGAAGGACATAAGTTCCATTGATGGCAACTAATTGAGTCATACTAAAAAAGTTGAATACTCGCCTTGAAAAGACCAAAAGGCAAAGGGTTGAAAAACTCTACAATATTCTTTGAGCTTATCACACCGCCTTAGAAACTCCAACCGGGGAGACACGATACAAACTAAATACAAAGACGTCCTAAGGAATAACACAAGCATACATATCGTCCAAATAATATACATAACATTGTCCGTGTATCGATCCCAAGAGGAATGAACAAATTTCTAAGGTGAGAATTTCTAGCACACCAGTCTTGAATCTAGTATGAATTTACTATGGAATTAATGTTTTGAAAAGTTACTAATCACATATTTTAAAATAAAACAAGCCCAAGCTAATGAGGTGAGTATTTTACCTTATAATTTAATTTGATTTTATTTTCATAGTATTTCTATGATTCAACCACACATTTTTTTTTGGAAATTTATCCGCTCCAAAGATAAAAAAGTAAAATTAATTTATTTCGTGATTTTTTTAATTAAACCCCACACATAATTATGTTGAATTTTAAATTTACAATTTAAAAATATAGTTTTTATCAGGTATTTAAAAGATATATATTAAAGCTAGGGCTGTCAATTTGTTAACGAGCCGAACACGAACAACGGTTTGTTCGCTCGTGTTCGCCTCGAAATGGCTCGAAAAAAAATTATATAACTTTTTATATAACAATATATCACATATATTATTTTTATAATAATATATTATATATATTTATGTCTAAGTTTAAATCATAACACCTCATGTGACAATGTGGTTAATGTCTTCTTTTGTATAGATTTGATCCATGTTCGAATCCCACACTATATTTATTTTTCTCAATTTTAGTTTAACGAGTCAATTTCGAGCCGAACACGAACACAAATATTTAAATCGAGCCGAACACGAACACACTGTTCACTAGCCGATTTCGAACACGAGCTATTTCGAACGAGCCGAACAAGAGCCAAGCGTGAGCTCGCCCAAGCTCAGCCCGTTTAAAGCCCTAATTAAAACGAATGGTTGAGAATATTTGTGTCAAAACCCATTCACGATGAATATTAAAATTCATAGATTTAGATTAATAAAAATATTATAATAATAAAAAATAAATTTATTAAACGGAAATTTACATACATAACACTTAATTTAATTTATAGATAAATAAATAAATTCGACGGTCAACGTAGTTCGAGAATTCAGATCCACGGACCAGATGAGGCTGTGCAAATTCCACGTCAAATCGTCTTCCTGCTCCCCATTCTTGATGGAAGAGATTGTGATTTGGCGGGTTTTCTTCTTCCTTTATTGGCCCCATCGCTGCGCAAACTCTGCACACTCATCTGTCTCCTCATACTGAAATCCAAGCAGGAACAGTTTTCTCTGTAATGGCTGTTCATTGAGGGCGACTCAAAGGTACCATGGCTTCCCTGCTCACTGCGCGTATGCCTCTTAACCTCAACTTCAGGCGGGGAAGGACGTCAGCTTTAGCGCGAAGCACCAGCGTTGAGGAGTCTTCAAGGAACCCTATCTCCAGCGACAAGAATCAATTTCCAGGTTTTTTTTTTTATTCTATATTCCCGTACCTCGGCTATTGAATCATTACTTTAGCATCTCCAGTATTAGAGCGTTTATTCTCTATCTCTGCAAACTTATGGTCGTACATTTTTTCTAAATGATCCGGGAATAGAGCTCTTAAGTACCAATCCTAGCAAATATTCTCTAACTGATTATCATTCTGATGAGGTTCGAGTTAATCTTGTAGACTTGATCATTACTTTGAATTATAGCTGCTAAGAGGATTTTAAGTTTTTATTTCTGTTGCTCTTTGGCGACTACTATTTGTCTAACCATGCTGCAATGTACAGGCAAGTTAGAAGCAGATGTTGTGGTGATTGGAAGTGGTATTGGTGGACTATGCTGTGCTGGACTTTTAGCTAAATATGGTGAAGATGTTATTGTGTTAGAAAGTCATGATGTAGCTGGTGGTGCTGCACATTCTTTTGAAATTAAGGGCTATAAGTTTGACTCTGGTCCGTCTTTGTTCTCTGGATTTCAATCAAGAGGCACACAAGCAAATCCTCTAGCACAGGTGAGTTACTTATGGTTTGTGAACAGGGTGGTGCTTGTCACTTTAATAGATTATTCCAGGTTTGTTTCATGCAAGTATAAATGTTAGTATACACTTCTCAGAAACTTATTGTTGTAAATAAATCTAAGCTTGATATTATTGCGATTTAATCTTAGTGTTTACTACCCTTTTATAAGAGATAGTCAATTATATATTATTTTCATGACCAAAATGCACTTGATTTTATTTGCTCGGTGTTTGGGACCGGTGTCTTGCTCTACCATAAGCGGCTCAAAACTCGATCCGAATTCATATTTATTTAAAATTTACGATATTCATTTTATGAAGAAATTATGACCATATTTTATGACTTTATATCTTTTTCGGCATAATGTGCAGGCCTAACGCTTCCATAGGTACCTCCTATGCTTTTCATGGCGTGATGAACAAGCCCAGCACACTTGTATAAATGTGATAGTTACGCTGGGATGGTGCTAACATTTAGTAAATTGAGCTTGCAAAGGACTTAAAAGGGGCAATTAAAATAATTCCTTTTTACCATACCGTGCAACTTAATAGATGTTTAAGTGCACAATGAGAATACAACAAAAATACTAAATGCAATACTTATTGCTTCGAATGAAAGAGAAATAAATTGAACTTACAGGGCACTTTTTAGCTTGTCTTCCAACATAACTAGAACCTGCCTTGTACTACTCAAAACTCTTTGAACACTTAGAACCTCTCACAATTGATCGAATAAGATTGTCGGGGAAAATGAAATACGGAATACCTCTATATTGTATTTATTAACCGAAGTGACTTGCATGTGTACTATGATATAGTGATTTTGCTGTCAGTTGATATCACAAATGTGTGCTTATGATCCGGGCCTTCTGGTTGGCGATCTGACACCAAATGATACAATTAAATAATGATTCAAATTCTCTGATGGCAAACCATAGAGCACGTTTGAAGGACACGGATCACTCGGTTGGTTAAGTTGACTTCGAATTATCCTAGACGGCGAAGATGCATCTTAATTTTTTCAGGTCTCTTTAAACAATGCCACTCTTGACTCCTGATCAAAAATTATTTCATAGTGTGTCGACTACTTGCTCTGACTAAAGTAGATCAGGGTTTATGATAGTATAAGACTATGAAATCATGAGATCTTGATTGGATTTATCATCTCACAATCTTTTCTTTAAGTTAATAAAGGTAAAATTGCTCTTTAAAATTAAAACACAGTTATAATATACCAAGTTATTAGTCATTAATGGCCAATCTTAATTGAAATTTCTTTTCACTGTGAGGAATAAATAATTATAGTGGCTTGGGTTTATGGGAAATGTGAAATCAGATCATAAATCTTTTGCAACATAAAAAAATTTCAAGTAGTATTCTATTTGTATTCCAATCCGTCTTTTAAATTTTGACTCGAGTCACACTTCTCTCAGATGACATGGGCACAAATTTTTGGAGCCTATAAAATACAGTACCACTATATTTTCGACAGCGTTTATCCTGTTTCTTTTAGCCTCTTGTCTTAACTATTTACGGGGAGAGATTTGTCTCATATTCATTCATGGCATCGTTCGAAGTCTCTTTGACAACTGCCACTATTATTAGATTTCCCACTACTCTATTTTTTATTTTTAATTTTTTATTGTGCTTGTATTATTCCTCTTCAACCCTATAAGGCAATTAAACTTCAGAAGTTTTTTTGTCTCCGCAACTTAACTCTTTTAGAACTACAACCTAAAGTACAAGGGTTTGGAAAACCATTATTAGAATCTTGTATCAAAGAAACTTCAAATTTCTGTCTCTTTTTTTTTTTTGGAATGTGTTACATTTGCTTTATCTCAATTTTATCCAACTACTATAGTTTGCTTTCCTTCAATTGCAAGTATCAGATCCTTTCTTTTTATAGAAATCACATCGTCTATGACCTATATTTCCTTTGATGCAACAACGAACTCGTGGAACTAAAACTCTCTCTCAAATCCAGCAATGGCATCCGTACCTCTAGAGAAAACAATGCATCGAGTTTTGACATTCGTTCTTCTTGATTGTCTATTAGTTCCATTAGAATTAATCCGCCATTTTATCTCCAAGAATACTATTTTTGTCACTCCACCATTACCACTTTTCATAAGGCTTGCTCTTACCAGGAGGCTTGTTTTAATTCCCATTACCAGTCCCATTACCAGAAAGCTTTATAGAATGAACTTGATGCCTTAAGTCAAATTTATACTTGAGATTTAGTTGATCTACTTGCTCTAAAGTTGACTTTTGATTGTAAATGCCTTTAATTTATAAAATTAAACTTATTTATAAGAGTCTTTTGAGCATGATAAAGCACATTGTCACAATAGATAATTGTTCAAAACTTGAAGAAACCTTATGGTGACCTCCATATGTGATGCACAACTAGATTGATCAAATGCGACAACGACAATGGATATGGGTGCAATTTCATGAAAATTTGACCCAAGGCATCTTATTCGCATGAAAGGATAACTCAACCATCACCTATTTCACCAAATATTTTGTATAAAATTGACATGTCAAAATGGCCTAAGGAGCTCCGCCAATGCCTCTCAAGCTGTTCAGAAGAATGAAATTCGCCATGAGTGAGAAAAAGTTAATATTCTTAAATAGATGAAAATAATAATAATAATTACAAAAAACAAGAAAACAAAATAGTTTTGAAAAATGGGATAAAAAATATTTGTAAAATAAGATGAGGAAAAATAATAACAATAAGTGCGATAATAATATAAATTATTAAAACATTAATAAAGATGAAAAAATTTTTGGTCCCTATTTATGAAAAATTTGGCATTTTTTGCAGCAAAATTATAAGGTGCTTCATTGAGGGACCCAACTGATCCTCCCACCCTTCTCCCTCTCGATCATCTCTATCTCTCACTCTATTTTCATTTCAAATAGCTTGTCTTTTCCCCTTGGAACATGTCGTTGACATCATACAAGGTATAACATGTCGTTGATATTATACAAGGTATCCTAAACTCTAAACCCTATACAAAGCAACTTTTCTGATAGGCATGCCAACATATGAGAAAAGGGAAATTTACATACATACCACACAATTCTTATGTATTTACATATCAACACCCAAATTTTGATTTTTTTGATTTATAACAGCTTGGTGTTATATACCTATGCATGAAAATGTGTATTGCACTTTTAAACAGATACTGATGGTGGTATTTTTTATGTGATTTTATAGGTTTGAGTAGTATGCATGTAAATATGATTGTTTTGGTGTTTGATATGTAAATACATTAGAATTGTGTGCTATGCATGTATATGCTACATGGAAAAAGATACCGTACACATTTCGGCATACATTTTTGTGCTGACAACCACAATAAAAATTGGAAAGAAAGGCTTCAAAATAGCGCACACTTTCATGCAACTATTTTTGGCTTTCCATTTTTCTAAATTCATTGTTTGAAATTTCTATTTCAACTAGAGTGATTTCCCATTTTAATATTGTTGTAGGTTCTTGATGCCTTGGGTGAGAATGTTCCTTGCGCATCATATAACTCATGGATGGTTTACATACCTGAAGGCACGTTCTTATCAAGAATAGGTCCCTCAGAGTTTTATAAGGTACGACTCCAGTCCAATTATATATATTTTTTTTCAAAATTATGAATTGATATAAAAAATAAAATCATTTGATTTTACGAAGATTTACATACGTATCACTTAATTCCTATGTATTCACATATCTAGCACCTATATTTCAATTTTCACATATATACTTCCTTACCTATGCATGAAAAGGTGTATTTTACATTTTTAAAGTTACAATAGTGGTCTTTTGATGTGGCATAAAAGATTTGGGTGGTATGACGTAAAAAGTAAAGTTTAGGTGTTAGATATGTTAATACATAGGAATTAGGTGGTATGCATGTAATTGCCCCTTTATTCCGTAATGATCATTCTTTTTTCCTCATGATAAAAGAGGGATAATTATGTTCTCTTGTTATTTGTTGTAAATAGTAAGAGAATAATGGTTTATTTCATGCTCATTCTTTGGTCGTTTAGCAGACTATAATACCATTCCTCATAAATCTACTTCTGTTAGTCTAGGAATTTCTTTTTCATTCATTGCTGAAATTCTAGTTTCATAACCATTTTTTGTTCTTTTTTGCAATCTTTTATAGGATTTGGATATGTTTGTTGGTCCTGAAGCGGTTCGGGAATGGAAGAAACTTCTTGTACGTTGAGTATTTTTATTCCTTTTTTTCTTTAATATTTTCTTCCTATATATGCAGTTAAAATTATCTGTAACTCCATGGTCATGTATATATATATATATATATAATTAAATTTTGAGGTTAGAGTTCATACTTTCATTGATAAGAAAGCGATGTATAAATACACATTACAAGACCCACATAAGAAGTAAGACTTAAATTCAGAAATACATAAATATGAAAAAGAAAGAAAATAAAGAATGTAAATAATGCCTAATAATAACGACAACATTAATTATGCTAATAATTATAATACTCTCCCTCAAGTTGAAGCATAAATGTCTTCGTGCTCAATTTGGATTTTAAGTCGTCAAACAACGGTCGCGAAAGATATTTTGGTGAGAATATATGCGAATTGACCATTGGATGGAACAAATCGAATACAAATCTCCGCCAAATCAAGTTTTTTCTTAATGAAGCATCGGTCAAACTCTACATGCTTGGTGCGATCATGTTGAATCGTATTATAGGCGATGCTAATGATAGCTTTATTATCACATAACAACTGGAGAGGAGCAGAAATCAACAAATGTGATTCACGGAGCATGATGCGTAACTAGAGAGCTTCACAGATACCTAAGGACATGAAGCGAAACTCGGTTTTAGCGCTGCTCCGGGCCACAACCGACAACTTTTTTCCTTTTTCATGTGACAAGATTTTTCCATACGAATGAACAAAATCTTGTAGTTGATCGCCGATCATGGACGGACCAACCCAATCTTCATCTATATAAATAACATCAGAACTAGAGGCGTGACACGAAAAAACAGACTTGAAATCAATGTGTCTTTTAAGTAGTGAAGGATTTTGTGAACAACCTTGAGATGATGCTCATAGAGATCATACATTAATTTACTCTTAATACTTCCTGCATGACAAATGTCGAGACGAGCATGAGCGAGGTAAATGAGTTCCCCACAAGACGTTGGCAGTGAGTTTTATTCACCGGAACAACATTGGGATCATCAGCTAACTTTTGATTAAGATCGGTTGCAACAACCACTAGTTTGCATAAGAGCAGGTTATTCTCTGTCAATTGATCAAACACATATTTGCACTGAGACTGACAAATAGTTCTAGATGACCGAGCAACTTTCATGTCTAAGAAGTACCTGAGTGATCCTAAGTCTTTCATTTCAAATGAAGTAGCAGGAATATCTGCTAGGGACTCCAATGCTGATAGATCATCCCCCCGTGAGCACAATATTTTCGACATAGACACTAAGGATAACAATTTTGCCACTGGAGGAATCTTGAAAGAAGATAGTATGATCTGATGAGTTTGAGAAAAATCATGATCCATTACCATCTTTTTGAATTTACTGAACCAGACCCTTGTGAATTATTTCTATCCATAGAGGGACTTTCTCAGTATGTACACTTGTCCCTTGGGAAATAAGAGTTAAAGCCTGGAGAGAGGCACATGCACACATCTACTGTGAAATCCCTTTTTAGGAAAGCATTATTGGCATCCAACTGGAGCAAGGGCCAATCCAGATTCACAAAGAGAAAGTAAGACCCGAATAATGTTCAATTTAGTAACCGGAGCAAATGTCTCATAATCAACCTTGTATGTTTGTGAGTAGCCTTTGATGATCAAACATGCCTTGTTGCGTTCAAAGGATCCATCAAAGTTGAATTCGATGCTAAAAATTCAGCGATACCCCATTGATTTCTTACCCGAAGGAAGATCCATAATATCTCATGTATGATTCCACTAAAGTATATTCATCTCATCAATTACTGCAACTTTCTTTGAAGAGTCAACTAACGTTGCTTCAATAGTAGACGGTAAATGATGATTCATCAAGACAACAACAAACACTTTGTAGGTTGGCGATACACTGTGAAAAGAGATATATCTTTTTATGAAATAAAGAGAGCTTGCCTAAGAACTCACCTCATTTAGAGCGGGGTTAGTTTTGAGATGTTGCTCGGAATGGATTCCAAGCCCTGTAAGGAAGCAACGGGCTTCAGAGTAGGACCATAAGGACGAGTGCACTAAGTATAGACACGGAGGATGAGAGGAGATTCTAGTTGACTGTTAGGTGGTGGATCCAGGGGGACCAAATGGTTCCTTGGATATAGTGGTTGAGAAATATCCACCGGGGTTGGATAAGAAATAGCGTCCAAGAAATCAAGCTCTCGTTCACTTGAGGCAATGATATGGAAGTAGGGTACACTTTCAATGAAACTTATAGTTTATTTGTGACAGGATCAAGACATCAGTAACCTTTTGAATGGTATAATACCTAAGAAAGGCACATTTTATGAATCTCAGATTGAGCTTTCTACGATTCGGAGCAGTGTTCCGAACGAAGGCCGCACGCTCAAAAATTTGAGTTCAAGATTGATGCTTAACCGATTGGTAGGGAAACATGACATCAAGATGATTAAAGGGGTTCATATGTTATGAATTTTTGTGGGGACTCTATTGATGAGATAGGTGACAGTAAACGCGACATGATTTCAATACCTTTTCAGGACATTAGATTAAAACATATTGGAGCGAGCCATTTCAAGAATGTGTCAGTTTTTTCTCTCAGCTACATTTTGTTGGGGAGTATCTGTATATGTGTTATGATGGAGGATGTCATTAATTACAATAATTCACCTAAAATAGAGTTAAAGAATCCACGACCATTGTCGGTATGAATGACCTAGATTTACGTTTTGAATTGGGTCAACATTTAGTAATGAAAGTTTTTGAAGGTGATAACAACTTCAGATTTTTTTTTAGATATAGACTCACGTCATTTCGAGTGTGATCATCAATTAAGATAAGAAACCACAATTTATTAGTGTAATTGTGTGTACGAGAAGGTCCTCGCAAGTCACTGTGAATAAGTGAAAAAGGAGGGGGAGACGTTTAAAGGTGAGGAGAATATGAAACACGATGATGTTTAGCTAATTGACAAGTCTCACATTTGAAACTAACAAGATTTTTTTTAGTAAATATCAATAGATATAAATGTTTTAAATATTGAAAATTGGGATGTCCCAAACGATAATGTAACAACATAATATGACATTCAGTGGATTGGGAAAAATTGCAATTGTTGGGAGAAGTGCCTTCGTTCTCCGTGCCTTTCTCTTGGAAGAAATAAAACCCGACTACTCGCTTAGCAGTTTCAATTATCCTTCTCGAACGACGATTCTAAAAGACAAACATCAGGAAAAAAAAGAACAACACAATTCATGTCTTGTGTCATCTTACTAACAGATAACATGTTACATTTCAACAGAGGAACATACAACACGGATTCTATTAATTGATCATTTACCTGCAATAGAGTTATTGAAGTCATCAACAATTTTGACTGTCTTTCCCTGGTCAGGATAATATGTTGAGAAAGCTTGAGAGCATCCAACAATGTGATCTGTGACACCTTAATCAATAATTCAAGGACTGGAAAAGACAAAGAAATGAGAGCCATAAGAATGATACCTTGGCGGACATGGAAGATCGATGGATTGGAAGAGAATTGCTTGGATCCATTTAGTTTGATTAATTGCTCCATTAAACTCTTAAGAGTGTCAGATGATTCTGGATTGTTCCGAGCGGAGGTAGGTTGAATTGGAGTAGAATCAGGTGTTGTAGTGAGAACCGTAGCAATGGAAGATTTGGCTGACGATTTGTGTGTTGGTTTTCCATGGAGTTTCCAACATCTGTTTCGAGTATGGTTTGGTTTGTGACGGTAATCACAATTGGAGCTAATGACATGAGACGACATAGACGAGTGTTGAGTACTATTAGTGACCAGGACAGATGATTTGACTGAAGTGGAAATGTCAAGCATGACAAGTATCTATCTCTCTTCGCATCAAATCTTTGTGAAAACAGCACGAGCGGAAGGAAAAGGATCCCGACCAAGAATACGACCCCAGATTTCATCAAGGTCTTTGTTAAGGCCCGCCAGAAATTAAAACATATGATCTTTTTTTATAATTTTCTGAAAGAGGGAAAAGTCTGTCAGAGATTCCCACATGTAATCATAATATAAATTGCATTCCATCCATAAGGCTACAAAATCATTATAGTACCGGGTCACGATATTTGATTCCTGTTTTGCCTCGCAGATCTTTTTGAAAACATCATAAAGTTGGCTGGAATTCCCTATATTTGAGTCGGTATCTTGAACTGCAGTCCATAAGACACTGACAGAAGGAAGAAACATATATGAACGATTAATTGTAGTCTCTATAGAGTTAATCAACCATAACATGATCATGAAATTCTCCACTTTCCGTGTTTCATACGTTGGTTCAGTTTTTGGAGGTTCACGAATTATTCCAATGAGATGAGCGAATTACTCATATTTCTTGACGAACAAAGAGACGATTTGGGACCATTGGAGAAAGTTACATTCGTTCAATTTGTGGATGGTGATTAGGAAGTTCATGTGGTTTTCCGTACCTTCGGCTTGTGGAGGGATTGGGATCGATTTTGACCTTCCGGTGGACTCAAGTACACTGTCGGGAGAAGCTCAATAGTACAGAAGAATTCGCCATAGTTCCAACTGACCCAAAAGTGATGTTGAGTTGTCAAGAAAGAGAGATATCTGATCGAGGACAAAATCCGGCTGGTGGAGGGATTGGGATCGATTTTGACCTTCCGGTGGACTCAAGTACACTGTCGGGAGAAGCTCAATAGTACAGAAGAATTCGCCATAGTTCCAACTGACCCAAAAGTGATGTTGAGTTGTCAAGAAAGAGAGATATCTGATCGAGGACAAAATCATGGAGATACGGCGGCTAGAAAGGAATTCCGGCGGTTGGAAACCGGCACCAATCAGTCCAGCGGCCTGCTGGAGGGAGTTCCAGCTGGTTGGAACAGGATCCCGTCGCCTGGAACCAAACACCAATCCCGAGCGGTGCATCTGTCACAACAAAAACTCTCGACACAACTCTAGCGTTGCTTCTGTCTTGGTGATAGCCTATGACTCGACAATAGAGCGGTAGGCGGCGCTCGCACGCGCGCGCACACACATCTATATATATATATATAGATTTTAGGTCGCTTTGATCAAGCATCCGCATTGCGTTTATTAATACTATAAAAAAGCTTTAGTCATAGCATACTTTTGACTGTAGGAACCAGTTTGATTAAGCATCGGTTTTCACTTGGAAGGGCTTTCCAAATTCCTGTAGACATAGCATTGGTGCTGAAATTAATTGTCTTTCAGATATTGCGTATTTAGTGTTATCCATTATGCAGATGCAATTTAGAAAATATAGCAGATCCCGCTAGTCATCCAATAAATCTTCTATATGGGGCATAGGAAAGAGAAACTGATTGTAATTTTATTGGTTGCTTTGTTGCAATACACATCCTTTGGGAGCTGTCTTTCTTCAACCAATTTATGTAAATACTGAAGTTTAGGTGTTAGATATGTAAATACAAAGGAACTGACTGCTATGTATGTAAATCTTCCATGATTAAAATTGCTTTTTTTTAGGATGCGACGCTTCCCATGTCTGGTGCTGCAATGGCATTGCCCCCACTTTCTCTGCGAGGTGATTGGGGTGTTCTTTCCACAGCGGCGACAAGATATGCTCCTTCATTAGTGAAGTCATTAATTCAAATGGGGCCTCAAGGAGCTCTACGAGCTTCTAAGCTTTTGAGACCCTTCTCTGAGATCCTTGACTCGCTGGAGATTAAAAACTCGTTCATCCGAAATTGGGTGGATTTGCTAAGCTTTCTCCTTGCGGGGGTGAAGTCTAATGGCGTACTTTCTGCTGAAATGGTAATTTTATATTCGAGTAAAGTGTCAAAATAGCCCCAGACTATTTATATGGGGTCTACAAATACGATTGACGGCAGATTCATTTTGTGTTTATGAGATTTAATTCTAAGGGACTCTACAAATAGGATTTATCAAGTCATGTAAATCCTAATTTAATAGAGAAAATTAAAATGTAAATATTATTTTGCATGACAACTGTTAAATCTTGCTAAATACTGAAATTATTTGAGTACTTCTATAGTATTTAAGATTTGTGAGAGAAAAATTGTAAATACATTGTATTATCTGAATGGTGAGATTTAATAAATTCTGGATTCAACTAATATCGGGCTAAGATGCGTTATATCAAAATTGTAGCATTTAAAATCTGCAAAAGCTATTCGGTAGTATTTAAGCTAAATCTTTCTTATTCTTGCCTAAATAGTATAACAAGCAGCCTCTTAAACATTTGCAAGCAATCTACTTCAATTAGGAGTACTGATTTTAATCTTATTCTCATTTATGATTAATGAAAAGAATTTCATCAATTAAGATAATATTTCTCTTAGTTTCATTTTCTACTCATAAACACTAGTATGTCAGGTGAGATATGCCATTCACTCCAGGTGAAAGGAAATAGGTGAGGCTCTTGCCTCTTCGAACTCAGTTGGCAATTTAAAAAAAGCAATATAAATAAAATGTTTATGATATATATGTGTGTGTGTGTGTGTGTAAAGCTCAACATGGTCCTTCCAGTTTTTATGGGTTTTTGTCCCAAACTATTTAGTATGCTTAATTTAGTCCGTTGACTTCTCAAATATGATCCAAAATAGCTCATCCATTGGCTTATTTTGGTTTAGATTTGATGAATCATGAAATTTAATTGAACTCATTTATAATTCAGGACTAAAATGATATCATACAAATACTTTAGAGACTAAATAGTTCTTCTGTTGCATAAAAACATTCCTTCACTTATATATCAATATCCCTTCTATGAATCACTTAAATGTTCACCTTCCAAGGATTTGTTTGAGACAGCTTCTTGGTTGCTTTGTGGTTAAAAAAACAACCAACCAAATGAAGTGCCCATGTAGATGGCATTTTTTTTTTTGGACAACTTTTAACAAAATTTTATCTTAGAAAGGCTTTTTTTTGGAAAAAGTCATAATTGGAACTGTGGTCACTAAAATTACTTTTAGTATTTAAATTTTCCTTGCTTTTAATGGCAAAGCTAGAAAAGTATAAGCTACCCCAATCAAAGCCTGGAAAAGCTGCTTGTAACTATACGAGTGTCGTTGTATCCATCTTCAGAATATCAGCTATAATATAGAATTTATGGTTTGTTTTATTTTGTTTTTTTGTTGTACTTTCTAGGTTTACATGTTTGCAGAATGGTACAAAACAGGATGTTTTCTCGAGTACCCTATACATGGAAGTGGAGCAGTCGTAGCTGCGCTTGTTCATGGTATTCAGAAATTCGGCGGAAGGGTCGCACTTAATGCTCATGTTAAAAGAATTTTGGTCGAGAATGGTCGAGCTACCAGTGTTGAGCTAAACAGTGGTAGCGTAAGCATTTTGTTTTAGGGAATTTTACGTACATACCACACAATTCTTATTTATTTACATGTATAACGCCCATAGTTTGAGATTTACATTTATAACACTTTGTATCATAAGCCTATGTATAAAAAGGTTTATTTCACTTTTGTAAAGGTAGTGATGGTGGTATGTTTGATGTGATGTTAAATATTTGAGTGGTATGCAAATAAATATGAATGTTTAGGTGTTAGATATAGAAATATATAAGATTTGTGTGGCATGTATGTAAATACCCCTTTGTTTTACTATATGGGGGAATTTACATGCATGGCACCCAGTTCCCATGTATTTATATTTCTAACTCCTAAACTTTGCTTTTTTACATTTATACCTCCCAAATCTTTTATATTACAACAAAATACCATCAATTTAACTTTCAAAAATTGAAATACAACTTCTCATGATATGTACAGTAGTGGTACATTTGTAAAATTTGAAGTTTAGATGTCAGATATGTAAATACATAAGAATTGAATGGTATATATGTAAATCTTCCTTTATAATATTTTACAGAATTTGTTTGTTCATTAGTTTAACTTAGTACACGGCAAGTAAATCGTTATTACAGATTGTGAGAGCCAAAAAGGCTGTAGTCAGCAATGCTTCTATGTTGGATACTTTGAATCTGTTGCCACAGAATTCCATCGCGCCTTCTTACAGAGAAAAGATAGAGGAAACCCCACTGTGTGAATCATTTATGCATCTCCACTTGGGTTTTGATGCACAGGTGAGGGTTATAACCACTACTTTCTTTAAATTTCTCTATTTCAGTCTCTTTTTAAATATGTGAAGATATAATTCTTGCTCTACTTTATATTTAAGTTGATGATATTTGATTTCCCTGTTTTTTTAACATTTTTTATTTTAATTTACATTTTTTTTTTGGGTCATTTACATGCATACCACCCAATTCCTATGTATTTGCATACCTAACATCAAAACTTTGCTCTTTTACATTTATACCACTCAAATCTTTCCTATCGCTTTAAAAAAGTAAAATACACCTTTTTATGCATAGATAAGATGGAATATTTATAAAAATTGAAGCTTACATGTTAAATATGTAAATGTGTTATGGATGTAAATCTTCCTTTTTTTGTTTCTTTTTTGATATGCTTCATTTTGTTTGGCTGCATTTCAGTTATTTAGTAGTGGTGTAGCTGTCTTACTAAATTATGTCTTAACTTATAAATGCATTTGTGGAAGCTTCTGTGTAACGTTTTGCAGTATTTGATGGCAGCTTCCAGAGCCAAATTGTTCCAGAGGTCTTTAGTATATTGCCTTTTATCGTTAAATGGTATAAAACTAAATATTTTTCATCTTATTTGTTTTGATAAATACTCGTTGTTTGTTATTTACTGGAAATTCTAACAATTTTCACTTAATTCTTTTAAGGGTTTGATTGAATTTTATTTTCTTACATTTTAAAGTAATTTTGTAGTTGGACAATTTAAAGTAATTAATAAATTCTACTAAATTCTTAAAATATATTATTTTTAAGGGTAACTTACTTGCATGCCACATAATTCTTATATATATACACATCAATCATCTAAAGTTAGATATTTACAAATTAACACTTTGCCATAATTACATCAAAACATATGCATGAGAAACTATATTTCACTTTAGAAAAAGTTAAATAGTGGTAGTATTTTATATATGCCGTTCAAGATTTGATTGTTAAATAAGTAAATATCAAAAGTCTAGGTGTTAGATATATACATATATAAGAATTATGTTTTATGTATGTAAACCCCTCTCTATTTTTAATAGTCAGCGAAACTACGATTTGCTTTCTTTGCTTTTTCTAATTTTGAAAAATCAGAAACTATGACAGATTTTCATAAGAAATTCTTAGAATATAATACAAGTAATTATGTATTAATTTGTATACACCCCAAATGCACAGTGCACAATATGTTCATTGAACTTTATTTATATGCCTCAATCCGATATCATTGAGATTATATTAAATAATTATTTTTAATTGTCTTTATGATTTTTTTTCTTAAATAAGACTCTACGGCCTATTATTTTTAGGGGCATTTGCTTACATACCACATAATTCTTATATATTTACATATCTAACGCCTAGACTTTCATATTTATATGTATAGCACTGAAGTCCTTAACATCAACTAAAAAGTGCCACTATTACTGACCTTTAAAATGTGGAATACATTTTTTCATGCATTGTTTTATAACACTAAAGTGACATAAATGTATGTCAAACTTTAGGTGTTAGATATGTAAACAAGTGGATCTTCTTCTTTGTTCTTCTCTGCAATCTATCTTCTACAGTCAAGAAAAATACAAATGGATGATTATGCAATTCATTGGCATATCTAACACCTAAAGTTTGATATTTACCTTTATAATATTTTGGTGTTATAAACTTATGTATAGAAAGGTGTATTTTTAAAATGTTAGTAATAGTGAAATTTTTGATGTGATATTAAAGATTTGAGTGATATTAAAGATTTGAGTGGGTGATATTAAAGATTTGAGTGGTATGCATGTAAATATTAAAGTTTAGGTGTTAAATATGTAAATATACTAGAATTGTGCGGTATGTATGTAAATTACCCAATCCTTTTTTGTTTGTTACATGTGGTAAGCTGGACAAGGAAAGGCTGATGAGCTAGTGATTGTTTGGGATCATATCCGTTTTTTATTTTGGTTTTTACTTTTTCTTTTATTTTAAAAATATGTTTGTTTAGTGTATTTTTAATGCTTTTATTTTTTATTTTCAATTATAAATTCACTTAGCTTTAGAACACTCAATATACCTACAAATTATTTTGAGTGGTTTTAAAAATATATAAATATGTTATAATATATCAAGCATGTTTATTTTCAATTAAAATCATATATGAAACAAAATAAAAAAAATAATAATAAAACAAGAATAAAAAGTGATCCCTAAGGAACTTTAAATAGAGATGAGAAACATAAGATAAATCAGATAAAAAAACAAGAAAAACTAATCTCAAAGCAATTTCAGCAGCTTTAAAATTCATTATCATAAAATTTGTTGAACTCTTTTTTTTTTTTTCCGGCGGCATTTACGTGCATACCAGCCAATTCATATCTATGTACATATCTTACACCTAAACCTCTCTTTTAACATTTATACCACTTAAATCTTTCATATCACATAAAAAATACTACCATTTAACTTTTGAAAAGTGAAATGCACCTTTTCATGCACAAGGAAGGTGGCATGTATGTAAAAATAAAAGTTTAGGTGTTAGGTATGTAAATACAAAAGACTTGATTGGTAAGTATGTAAATCTTCCAATTTTTTAAGGACATTTACATGCATACCACCCAATCGATGTGTATTTACGTAACACCTATATTTCTCCTTTTAACATTTAAATCATCCACTTAAAATTTTCATATCACATAAAAATACCACCATTTTAACTTTTGGAAAGTGAAATACATTTTTCTATGCATAGATAAGATGTTATACATGTAAAAATTGAAGTTAATGTGTTAGATATGTAAATACACATGAATTGAGTGGAATGTATGTAAATCTTCCATTTTTTTTTCTTTCTAGTAAGTATTAAACGACTATACTCCGACAGATAGCTTAACATGTTTCCACTGCTCTTTCGTTTGCAATTCAAATGCAAAATCATTGTTTTTCATGCGATATTGTTATAATAATAGATTGCTTTTAGAATCATATCGGCAAAAAATGTTTCATTTTGCAAATTTACAGGCTGTTCCTGAGAATCTGGGCATTCATCACATAGTCGTAAACGATTGGAGCCAAGGTGTTGATGCTGAACAGAATGTGGTGTTAATTTCGATCCCTAGCATGCTCGGAAAAGAGCTAGCGCCCTCCGGAAAGCATTTACTGCACGCTTATACTCCGGGGACTGAGCCTTACAACTTGTGGGAAGGACTCGACCGCCGGAGCGCCGAGTATAAAAGGCTCAAAGCAGAGCGATCAGAGGTACATTAAGCCTTGTATGCTTTTTTATGGTATTTACATGCTTACCACCCAATTTCTATGTATTTGCATATCTAACACCTAAACTTCACTTTTTTACATTTATGCCACAAACCTTTTGTATCACGTTGAAAAAACCACTTTTTTAACTTCAAAAAACGTTCAGCGTACTTTTTTATACTTAGGAAAGGAGGTATTTATGTCAAAATTGAAGTTTAGGTTTTAGATATGTAAATACAAAAGATTTTCTTGTGTTTTAAGCCGTTAGTTCCTCTTCTTCTTCTTTTTCATCCAGCTTTGTTTTCTGCACGGAAGTACTCAAATTTCAAATTTCAATTTGCTTTGTTGAGACATTAGAAAATTATTAGAAGAATATGAGCAACTCATTATCCTAAATGATTTTGTGTTAGCCTACTTAGCTGCCGTTTATTTTTTTATAATGTCAACCCAATACTTGCTCTAGTGGTACATGTTATAGCAATGAATAATGATTAGGTGCATATTTATGACTCTAAATTGGAAGATTTACATACATACTACTCATTTCCTATGTATTTACATATTTAACATCTAAATTTCAATTTTTGCATACATACCACCTTACCGATGCATGGAAAGACGTATTTCATTTTCTTAAAAGTTAAAATGGTGATATTTTTCACATATTATGAAAGATTTGGGTGTTATAAATGTAAAAAACAAACTCTAGGTGTTCGATATGTAAATACATAGGAATTGGGTGTTATGTATGTAAATGCCTCTTATAAGTTTTGTCAATTTGGAAGGCTTCTTTCTTGTAGTGCTTTTAGTGGGGAAAATATGTTGTTGGTTATAGTTTTTGTGTCTATCATTTTGTTAATCACTAAAAGTAATTTGTTGCCCTTTGATATTGATTTTAACTAGTGGTGAAACTAGGGAGAGGCTGCTGTTCTTTATGTTCGAGAAAAATTATATATAGTTACGTTTAATTTGAAAATTTTACCCGTAAGCATCTTTCAATGACATATATTATAGAAAATTGGGGCATTTACATACGTAGCACACAATTCTTATGTATTTACATATCTCACAGCTAATTTTTTATATTTTCACACATAACACTCAAATCCTTAACATCGCATAAAATTTAACAGAATTATCACGTCTTACAAGTACAGATTTTAAAGTATAAGTTTAAAACACCGAAGTTTAGGTGTGACATATGTAAATACATCACAATTGCGTGCTAGGTATGTAAATTCCCCAACTCAAGTTAAAGAAGACAAAGAGGGCGTATTATATTACCATAGTTGACATCTCATTCCGGTTGAGATTAGCTACTTTCCTATATAAAATTGCTATCTATTATTGATCTTTGCAGTCCAAAACTCACAATAGTACTTGCTATATATTAGATAATGATATGAGTATTTGAAGGGCATTTATCAAAAAATGTCAGAGCAAAAAGAAAGAATGAGGCATTTACACATCTAACACCTTAATATTCATATTTACATGTAAAGAATTGATTGCTTTTGAAAAATCTTGCCCATTTCATTAACACTTGGGCTTATATAGAGCTTTACAACATTTACAAATATATCCCTAGACTTCTTCTATTTATTGACAAAGTCCTATTTATTGGATACAAATCCCAACACTCTCCCTCAAGATGCGCAAAACCTAGAAAAATCTAATGAGCCAAGTCATTTGGTGAGGCAGTGAGCCACTTGCTCATTAGTGGCTACATGACTTAGCTCCAGTAGACCGTTATTCAACTTTTCCTTGATGAAAAACTTATCAATCTCCACATGTTTGGTTCTATCATGTTGCATTGAGTTGTTGGCGATGTTGATCGTTGACTTGTTGTTGCAACACAACTTCATTTTAGCTCCTTGGTCCGCCTTGAGCTCTACAGACAAGGCTCTCAACCACATTATCTCAACAACTCCTAAGGTCATGGCCCTATACCCTGCCTCTGCTTTTGTCCTCGTTACTACTGATTGTTTCTTGTTCTTTCGAGGACCAAGCTGCCTTTTACAAACATGCAATATCCAAATGTGGACTTCCTGTCATCCATACAACTCGCCCAATCAAAGTCACAATAACCCTTAATGCTTACATGTTCATTATTCTTGAAGATCAACCCTTTCCCTAATGCACTCTTCAGGTATCTCAGAATCTGATATATTGCATCCATATAACCCTTCCTCGGATCATGCATGTAGCGACTCGTCACATTTATTGTAAATGATATGTCGAAACGAGTGTGAATCAGATAGATAAGACGACCTTTCAACCTCTTGTACCTCTTGCGATGAACTGGCACTCCTGCTTCTGCGCTCAACTTTTCCTTCTCATCAATTTGTGAAACTATAGGCTTACATTCCAAAATGCTTGTCTCTTTGAGCAAGTCTAACACATACTT